TCTTGATGTATTGTTTGTTATTGTTGAAAAAATGAAAATGAATAAAAACTTCTAATCACAAAAGAATTGGGTTAAAAGCAATTTTAAAAAAAAGGATTTCTACTCCTTTTTATTTGCATAAAGTGTTGTGGAAGAGAAGTTAACAATCTCAGCCAGGAACTTGAGCTGAGCAAATTGGGACAGATTTATAGTTTACCTATAATATCCAACATAAGAACTCCAACAGGCCTGTTTTTACTAATGAAAATGTATGATGCATGGCTAAAAGTACCCAAATACATACTATATACTCAAGTACCGTCGAATACCTAAATATAGTTAAAGGTATTTTTTCTGTATGTGACAATTATTCATTTTAGTCTACAATGCAATATAGACTTTACATGCAAAGAATTCATTAAGAGGTGAGCCAACAGTATATAAAGCAGTCTGAGTTAGTGCCACTTTAACCAACAGCAATATAAAAACACTGCTTACATGTTGACACATCATTACAGGCACCATTCTGCACGATGAGCGTGGAAAACTATTTTAAGATGCCGTTATCTTCTAAAATACAAATAAAATATGTACACAAGAAGTATGCTTAAACAAACAAATTAGAGCATAATTTAATTGCAACAGGCAAAGAAAACTTTTTTTTTTAAATGTAACCTTATTAGATAATGGGAAATAAAATTAACCACAAATGTAGGTCAGACGATTGAAAATTATTAATGTCCATGAGAGGTTTCTTACTCCATATCAGAGAGGACACTCTGACTCACTTTCACATTACAAAAACTACATTTGTTCAAATTTCTCTCATGTAAACAGTAAAACTGACTGTATATCTATGTTTTTAGATGTTTTTACTCCACTTTAACCTCCAGAAAAATCTTATTGTTCAGTGACGCAAGCACAGAAATTGCTCTCAGTCCTAATATCCTTGATTCTCTGTCAACTGACCTAAAACCAGTTGCTGCAAATCTGGGATTTCTTTTCAATTTCAGTTTAAGCTTTGAACCACACAATAAAAAAGTTGTCCAGTCCTGCTTTATTCACATAAGATCCATCTCCAGACTCAAACCATTATTTTTTTTTTTTTACATTCTGATCTGGAAAAAGTCATTCAAGCACTAATTTTCTCTTTTGCCTACTGTAACTCGCTCCTCTAAGATATCACCCATAAGTCTCTCTGTCACTTCCAACTAGTTCAGAACTCAGCAGCTCAACTTCTGACTCGTTCTAACAGATGACACCCCATCACACCGATCCTGACTTCCCTCCACTGGCTGCCTGTTCATATCGTAACTGACTTTAAGATTTTATTGATCACATTTAAGACTTGTCAGGGTCTGGCCCCAAGCTATATATCACAAATGCTGACCCGGTGTGAGCCTGTTTGCAGCCTTAGATCCTCAGGTGAGGCCCTTCTGCCTGTTCCAAAGTCGAGGCTTAAATCTGAAGGTGACCGTGCTCTTGCCATCGAGGCCCCTCGGCTTTGAAATGACCAACCTGAGGATACAAGGCTGCAGAATCAGGGACTTGTTTTAAATGACTTCTTAAAGCCCATTTTGCTTTAACGCAATGTCGTCTATTGTACATAACTCTTTTTCATTTATTCTTATTTGGTCTTGTTTTTATGGTTTCACCCTATATTTTCTCAACTTCTCTTCATGTGAGATGGCATTTTTGGTGCTTTTAATATTTTGCTCGTATCAGCTGGTGTTTGTTGTATTGATTTACTTGGATTCAATTTCTGTATCTTGCGTTTTGCAAATCTTCTCCCATGTTTAACTCTTTTTCGCCACTTCTTGCCTCTCCAGTCTTTTTTCCTTTCTGTTTGGTCTTCTGCTTCTAAATAATCTTCCTGAGGGTTTTTTTTTACCTGTCTGTAAAGTACTTTGTAAACTCGTTTTTTAAAGGTGTTATATAGATAAAGTCATTATCATTTGCTTTTAATTAAACTTAAGTTAACGGTAAATGTCTACTGGAGGATAGAAACATTAGCTGCAGCACTGCGCCCCCTGCTGGCCGCTGCCTATCATTACAGCGGCTGCAGTACCGCTGTGTAGCCGCTGGGCGGCAGACAGCGTCGACTAGTTGTCTGCAGGCAAAGATGGCGGTGCGGAAGAAAGACGGCGGCCCGAATGTAAAATATTTCGAAGCGTCTGATACCGTTTCTCAGTTTGATAATGTCCGCGTCTGGCTGGGAAAGAATTACAAAAAGGTACTGAGCGCATGTTTTGTAACCATAAACCCTGAGCTCCCATTTTCAGCCCGTTATGTGGGCACTTACCTATTGGGCAGCGGCAGTGACAAAGAGAGGAGGGAGGGTGCCGCTCAGCGTCCAGCTGTTTGATTCACCCGAGCCGGGATACAAAAGGATGCTGAGCCAACAGCTGCACAAGATGCAGCCGCTAATGGCGGTATCCCTGTACGCTATTTTAGCTAAACCGATGCAAAAGCAGCACATAGTCCGACCTGAGGGGATGGGTTTGTGTTAAAGGGGTGACTTTAGCCGGCCAGCCTGCTAGCTTGCTAGTTAGCTAATCAGCTAACGGTAAGCAGCTCAGATCCAGATGTTGGCTCTGTGGCGCGCCGCGCTCACTGGAGCCATGGCCGGTGTTGAATAACACTGAGCAGCGTGCTGCCGCTAAGGCATGTAGCGTTCACGAAATATATGATTTCTTAACAGAAAAACACCAATAATGCTGATGAAATGGACGACATTTGTGAATTATACCCTTCATCACATATCGCATTATGGCGCTGTATTACACTCAGTGATAAAACTGAAAGCATTAAAACTTCAGTCTTTGACATAGCTGACTCAGGGTGGCTCACAGCTCATTGTAGGTCTTTTTAATGAGTCTGCTCTTACCTTCCCTCTGTTCACAGTACATCCAGGCCGAGCCCCCCACCAACAAGTCTCTGTCCAGCCTGGTGGTCCAGCTGCTCCAGTTCCAGGAGGAAGTATTCGGTCGACATGTCAGCAACCCTCCTCTCACCAAGTTACCTGTATGTCTCTTTCATCCCCTTCTATCTCTCTAAATAACAAACACATGCATCACTTTAACCCCAGAGAGACATTCTCAAACTGTTGTGCTTCATGTCTGCAGATGAAGTGTTTTCTGGACTTCAAGTCAGGTGGGGCTCTCTGCCACATCCTGGCTGCCGCCTACAAGTTCAAGAGTGACCAAGGATGGTAAGGCTTTCTTTCTAGCTGACTTTAGGCTATAGGGGTGCAGTTATTGATAATCAGACAGGTCATAAATATAGTGTTAGCGCCTGATGTTACAGTGCTCAGTTGGATTTTGGCTATGTTGCCGTTTCGTGTGTAACTCCAGTCTAATTTCCTGGTAGGCGCAGGTTTGACTTCCAGAATCCGTCGAGGATGGACCGAAATGTGGAGATGTTCATGACGATCGAGAAGTCCTTAGTGCAGGTGAGTGTACTTCAGTGCTTTTAATTATAATTGTGTCATATATGTTTGCACAATTTTGTTTTATTCAATCGAAATAAGAATTTTCATGTTTCCTTTGGTTACATCACATTTGTAAAGCATCTAAAAACCAGGCTGCCTGAGCTTTACAGATAGAAATAATGACGGACTCCCAGCCATGTGACCACAGTAGTCCTTAATCAGTATCGCAGTTTTACAAGATCATCCAGATCTCCTCTTCTGCAGAGGCAGACAGAGTTCTAGTTTTAATGGAGCTCATATGAAATGAAATGCACTATTTTAAAATTTTTATTCCCTGCATATTTGAATCAGTGCTCGTAAATGTATTCTTTAATTAAATCATGCATGTGCTGCTTTTTTTCCCAGAACAACTGCCTGACGAGACCCGTCATCTACCTGAGCGCTGACATAGAGCCAAAGCTGCTGGGGAAACTGAAAGACATAATTAAAAGACACCAGGTGTGTTGTCAGCATCAGAGACAGAAATGTTAATCCAAACGCTCTTAGTTACGTTACAAAAGTATTTATGTTTTTAGACTTAACCCATGTTTTCTGGTATTGCCCCACTGAAGTAAAGCTGAAGAGTTGTTTTTTTCAGAGCTGATATCATTCATGTGGACTTCATCTGTTGCAGGGCTCAGTGACTGAGGACAAGGCCTCCAGCTCCCATGTTGTTGTTCCCATTCCCACCAGTCTGGAGGAAGGTGAGGCCTTGTGTTGTCACCTGTTGTGTTTGTAATGAATTGTGCTGGATCTGTGCTAATATAATCCAATCTCTTTGGTCCAGAGGAGTGGGTGCGTCCTGTGATGAAGAGAGACAAGCAAGTGCTGCTCCACTGGGGATATTTTCCTGACAGGTTTGTTCTGACTTGATGCTCAAATTCTCACTACTTTTTTTTTTCTCATTGAATTTGGTTATTGCACCTGAGTGGCTTACTTTTGGCAAATTTTACACGATACATGTAGAATAAATTGATTTTAATAAAATATCAAAATTTGAAGCTTAGTTTCAGCAGTTTTTCCAACACAAAGGCATATGAGTAAAACAAGGACTGTTTCACTGTTATAAATCCAGTGTTACTTTCTGTTTTTATCATTTCTGGCTCGAGGAAATGGTGACATTTTGCTTTTTTTTATATTTTAAAGATAACATGTCTTTCAATCCTGTTAGTGGGTTTTGGGATTCAAAGGATAAAGCTACAAATTGCTCATCCTGCTGCAGTTTCTCAAGCCCAAACCTGTAATTTTGCTCCTGGTCTGACCTCTGACCTTGCTCCTCCCTGTTTAGCTATGACACCTGGATCCCAGCCAGTGAAATCGAGGCTGCAGTGGAGGATCCTCCCAGCCCAGAAAAGCCCAGAAAGGTATTTGTTGTTTCTTCTTCTTTTTTGTCTCAATGCCTCAGGTGTCCATTTTTACATTTTTAAAATGTGTGAGAATTTTAGTCTATCCATATTTAAACAATGTAAAATATTTTTGATATTCTGTGCCAAACTTCTGGGCTCCAAGGTGGCGCAGTTGGTCGCACTGTTGCCTCGCAGCAAGAAGGTTGCCGGTTCGCGTCCCGGTGGGGGCACCGGAATCTTTCTGTGTGGAGTTTGCATGTTCTCCCCGAGCAGCGTGGGTTCTCTCTGGGTTCTCCGGCTTCCTCCAACAGAGGTTAATTGGTGAATCTAAATTGTCCGTAGGTGTGAATGTGAGTGTAGCCCTGTGATAGACTGGTGACCTGTCCAGGGTGTCCCCTGCCTTCGCCCTAAGTCAGCTGGGATAGGCTCCAGCCCCCCCGCGACCCCAGTGAGGATTAAGCAGTGTATAGATAATGGATGGATGGATAGATAATGGATGGATGTGCCAAACTTCTTAAGTTTAATTAAGCACATTGTTCGTTGTTCAACTTCATCATATGTACATCTTTTATCTGTGAGCTCCAGTTGTTTCTTGAGGCTACATGAAACTTGCAGTGCGACAAGTATTTAAATCCAAAATGTCTTTTTTTTAAAATTAGTGTTCACTAGGTGTTCAGATGAAAAATTATAGATGCCTTGTGCATGTGGGGTTTTTCTACATCGTCTTGGTTTAGACTAGATTTTAAAGTAAACATTGTGTTTGTCTGCACAGCATGAGTCTTTAATGGCTGAAGTTAATTTAACGCGTCTCAGTCTGTCGTGGGACTTTATACACTGAGCTGGTAGCTCTCTAATTGGACATTGTTGCTCCTTTTATATTTTCCTCTCATTGCAAAACATCCAATAATGGCGTGCTGTGGCAAATTGGCACTTTGAACAACAGAGCCTCCTCCGGCACTTTGCTAAACCATAAATTCAAAGCAGTGTCAGTATCTCTTATTGTATATTCAGAGCGTCACTCGCTCAAGGCATTCGCTGCTCTCTAGGACATCATAGAAAGAGCAGTGAAGCATTCAGATATTTAGAGCCGCAGTCACACAGTAATTAGTAAACTGGCTTATTACCACGTCTCTCGCTCACACCACACCTTGTCGTGACATGTTTCTGTCAGTCTGTCTTTAATATGTGCTGGCTTCACTACAAGAAAAGTCTTCTCTTGTAAATTTATTTGTCAAATATGCATCTGCTGGATTCTCTAAAACACACAAAAAAGGCATGTACTCTACATGTAGCTAATACTGTATTTACGTCAGTGTTGGTTTGTATTTCTTTTAGCATTGATTATGAAGAATATCTATTAAAGTCATACACACTTGTTTTCTTATTCATCCAGCTACCATTGCCTAAAGACAACATATTTCAGTTACACACAAGAAGAAATTGTACCACACTGACATTGAAAAGTGACCTGAAGTTGGAGATCTATAGTTTGTCTCTTCCTGGTTAAACTGTGATATAAGATGGTGACTTTCTTCTGATTATTAAAGTGCTGACTCAAAATGTTTTAATACATTATTTGTTTTTTGTTGACAGGTCCACGCAAAGTGGATTTTAGACCTGGACCAGTATAACGAGTGGATGAACGAGGAGGATTATGAGGTGGGAGAGGGCTGTCCTAAGAGGAAGAGGATCTCTGCCAAGACCCTGACAGACGAGGTGACCACACCTGACGAGCGGAGGGACAAGAAGCCCGGCAGTGCCAAGAAGAGGAAGCGCTCGCCATCACCTTCCCCCACTCCTCCGCCTCAGGAGAGCAAGAAGAAGAACACAAAAAAGGGGTAAGTGGCCGAGATGTGACTCGATGCATGATGCCATACTGTAATAAGCCTTTGTTGTAGAATCAGCAAAATTAGTGGTTTCAGAGAAATAATGCAATAGGAAACCTGTGTGTGTGTGTGTGTGCTGACAGGCCAACGACCCCGTACACCAAGTCTAAACGGGGCCAGAGGGAGGAGGAGCAGGAGGATCTGTCCAAGGACCTGGATGAAGCATCACCTGTTGCAGCATCTGAAGAAGGAAACCCAGCAAAGACAAGTAGATGCAAAATATAATAAAATAAACAAAATGCAGCTTATGTTAATTTTTACATTCTGTCCTCTTTTGCAACATCAGGTTATTTGCATTAGTAACTGGCATTATGCTGAATTGTTTCTTTCTGTCTCCCTGCAGATAACACGAAGAAGGACTCTGATTCAACCCCAGTCAAGGGAGGGACAGATATGGGTGAGCATCTTAATACGTTTGTCTTTGTCACTTGTAATTACTGAAAACATTTTTTTAAAAATTCACTGTCAAAGCTGGTAAGACACTATCGATATTCCAGTGTGAGTTTTTAACAAGATCCAACAATGAGATGTCAGTTTATTAGTAAGTCATGGATCACCTGTTTATTAATCTGTTGTCAGTTTAGTGTGTATTCACTTGACTTTCCTCTGTGTGATTTGAACAGATGAGCAAGAAGATGAGTCCATGGAAACAACTGGAAAGGTAAGGCAGTCTGGAGAAGTGCTACAACACATAAAATAATGGCAGTAATTGTGATTGTGTGTGTGTGAATGTGTGTGTGTGTGTGTGTCAAATCAGGAAGAGGAGGAAGGATCTCCCAGTGTTAAAGGTGAACCAGTGAAAGGATCAGACCTTCATGAGGACAACGTGACTGAACAAACCCACCACATCATTATACCCAGCTATGCTGCCTGGTTTGACTATAACAGGTAAGAAGAAAGCTAATTCAGCTTTTTGGCAGCAGTCTGATTTTCAGACATGTCTATGTACTTGTAACATTTAAAGGATGAAAAAAAACTCTGATGGTCAACTTTGCCTGACATGAAAACCAGTCCAAGCTAAACCATTTTCGTGTCAAAATGCATAACTTTTGCTACATTGACACCTAGCGTCCTCATTAATCTGCCATTTTGGGACTCCTAAAACTGAGACTTTTGGAAATGCTGCTGACCCCTTTTGGTCCAGGGTTGCATTTTAGTCTGAACTGCAAAAATGGAGGCTTTTGGAAATGATGGCACACTCCTGTTAGACATATGTCCTTTTCAATTTTTCTGATTATTATTTTTAAAAAGGTGCTAAAATACTCATCTGGATGGAAATTACTGTCATTTTATCACAGCATTTTTGACATTGAAACACACTATTGTTAATGTAGGCTCAGCTCTGCATGGTATATGATTGGAGATTTTTGTGGAGACACAGAATATCAATAGTAAACGGATCTCATAAATCTTTCTGTTTTCTCTCCAGTGTTCATGCCATTGAGCGCAGAGCCCTGCCAGAGTTCTTTAATGGAAAGAACAAATCCAAAACCCCGGAGATGTAAGTATTTGCTTGGTATAAAAAAACAAACACAACACTAAATTATTTTATTACAATCTGAAGATCAGCCCATCAAACATTTACAAAGAAAAATCACATATGAACAGAAAGTGTTCTAATATCTGAGTTGTTTGTGACCTTCTTTCTTTCAGTTATCTGGCCTACAGGAACTTCATGATTGACACCTACCGACTGAACCCTCAGGAGTACCTGACCTCCACCGCCTGCCGTAGGAACCTGGCAGGAGATGTGTGTGCAATCATGAGGTAGGTGGAGGATTAATGTGAATATTTCTAACCAATCAAGAATTCTGTCTGTATGTCCACAATCACTTCTTTTAGAAAACCTGCTGTTAGTAAGAAATACTCTGTGTTCTCTCCCTCAGAGTCCACGCCTTTCTAGAGCAATGGGGACTCATAAACTACCAGGTGGACTCTGAGAGCCGGCCCACACCCATGGGTCCCCCACCCACCTCTCACTTCCACGTACTGGCAGACACTCCATCCAGTCTGGTGCCTCTGCAGCCCAAGACAGCCCAGGTCCGTATACATTCACATAAACTCACAAATAGACACATGCACACAGATTCTAGGTTGTTCTTAGAGCCCGACCGATTTATCAGCTGGCCGATTAAATTGCAGATTATAGCCCTTTTCAAAATACTCATCATCAGCTGGAGTTTTGCCAATTAATCGCCGATATATTCTTAATTTCTCATAAAACAGTAAATGCTGTTAAGTGTCACAGTCGCTTTCGTAAATTCATTTTGTACAACTTGATTTTGTAAAAAGACAAATATTCTCAAAGGCAAACACATGTAAAAACACTTCAGCAACACCACGAAAAGCTCCGTTTTTGCTGCTGCTTGTTGTAAACAAGTCAAACTTGGCTCACTTACAACCATACAGCGGTAAGATCACTCACTCTGCCGCAAATTCTGAAACCAAAACAACGCGTTTTTCAGAGAACTACAGAAAACAACTTTTTTAACGTTTTATCCAACTTTTTAACTAACTTATTTAACTTACATTTTTATTAACATATTCTCCTCAACTTTAAAGACAGCACAGTCTTTGAGAGTACAGAACATCAGAGGGCTGCATAAATAATGATTCGTCAGTAACTTCATTCATTATGTTGCTTATATACAGCAGACACCTGTGGCCTAAATCTGAAGATAAATTCATCAGTATAACTGGTAGCTGTATTCATGCATGCTCCCCAGAAAGAAAACTGCACAATGCAAATTTAAAACAAAATACCCCACATTATAGACACATTTGTTCAGAAAACATTTTCTTTTGTTTCACTGATGCATATTATGTTTAACACTTGGTTGCATGTTTTTGTTCTTGAAAATTCCTCTGTGTTGTAAAATTAAACACATACTAAAGGACAAAGTATTGTAAAACAGTCAAATGTTCTGCCTGTGATTCATAACTTTGTTGTTGTAAAAATTAAAGGACCAAAAAAGAAGCTATTTTATTAATTATATATTTTTTAAAATTAATCGGCCAATTAATCGGTTATCAGAATTTCTTTTTTGCCAAATATCGGAACCGGCATCGGGCTCAAAAATCCGTATTCGTCAGGCCCTAGTTGTTCTACATTTGTCCCTTTGTCACTGTGGCTCTGCAGACCCCTGCCACCCAGCAGATGATGTCATTCCCAGATAAAGTGAAGGACAAGCCAGCAGATCTGCAAAACTTTGGACTGCGGACTGACATGTACAGCAAGAAGACTGGCTCTACAAAGGTAAAAAGTCCAAGAGGATGGTGACAGAATGATTCTTTGCTCTAATTTGGAATGACTTTTTGTCAGTGACTTATGTTAACAAAGTTGTGATGTTTTTGTGTGCAGAGCAAGAGTGCAGCAAGTTCCATGAGGGAATGGACAGAGCAAGAAACACTACTACTACTTGAGGTACAGTCCGTCTTTAAACTCACCACTGTGACAATGAAACAGCCAACATAAACCTAAAACTAGCTATAATAATGCTGTACTGGATAACAACACCATGGAACAGTACAGCTAAATGTATCTGTCGCTTCCCTTCAGGGCTTGGAGATGTACAAGGATGACTGGAACAAGGTGTCCGAACATGTGGGCAGCCGTACGCAGGATGAGTGCATCCTGCACTTTCTGCGGTTGCCCATCGAAGACCCGTACTTAGAGGACACCTCCTCGTCTCTGGGCCCTCTCGCCTACCAGCCGATACCTTTCAGTCAAGCAGGAAATCCTGTCATGAGCACCGTGGCCTTCCTCGCTTCTGTTGTCGACCCACGTGTGGCTTCAGCTGCAGCTAAATCTGCGTTGGGTGAGAACTGGCTTATTTTGAAGTTTTCCTGCTGTACAGAGAAAGAAAAGATTCTCATCTTGTCATTTACAGCCACCTGAGTAGCTGCTGAAGACCCAGTGATCTCATAGCAAGTGTTGTGTTTCAGATAAACATTTGATATTGTCTATAGTAGGAATGCAGATTATGGGAAAATGTCTTAATTGGAAATGGGAACATTAATCAATAATGAATCGATTGGGAAAAGCTTAAAAATACAAAATGTGTGTTTTCCGGGGATAAAAGCTCCATTTAACCCTCTGAACAACAAGCAGTTTGTGAGTTTGTTTTTGCTCCTGTCACATATTTACTCACTAATGCCTCATGTTCCACTGCAGTGTGAAGTCCTGCACCTCTGTAAAAACAACGATGGCTAAAAGTAGAGAGAACTTAAAATGTCTTCTATGCAGCATAACAAAGTTCTAATGTTCTAAGTCATAAAAAATAAACTGAAGTTGAACATCTTTAATGAATTCATGTAGAACTAAACTGCCAACAGATGCTTCCAATACTGTAAAAAATGGTGGCTCTTCACACTATAGATATTTTACTACTTACATTTTTATTGTGTTACTTGTCTCCTATCTGCTCTGAGTAAGCACAGCCTACAGTTCAACCCAGTCCAGCTAAAATGTCCTTGAAATTTTGTTACAGTGATAAATTGGTGTCATTTCAGCATTTCTTCGAAAAGTATATTGTCCTTTAAACCCATCAATGTCTTTTAAGATCAGATGATTAAACATTTGTCATCTGAAAGTGGAACTCCTACAAAGTACAATGATTTTGAAGGACACAAAATTTAATCAGTAGTACAAGGCACGTTAAGCAAAACTTAAACAAGTTTTGTATCAGTGAAAACGGATGTACTTACAAATGCCTGCATTTACAACAAAAAAGAAGTCTAGCCTCGTGTCTTGAAAACAGTGATTCCTCGTAGTAGCTGCTTGTTGAGGGCAAAGCACGCATGCAACACATACATAATGTTGCAACAAGTTTATGCAATGTTATGCAAGTTTGTCATCAGCTAATTCATCGTTATTTTTATCTCTTGACACCCCAATCCTGATTGTTTGCCTCACGTTAATAACCACAATTTGTCTCTCCCCTTCAGAGGAGTTTTCTCGTATGAAGGAAGAGGTTCCTGCAGCGCTTGTTGAGGCTCATGTGCGGCGAGTGGAGGAAGCAGCGAGGGTCAGCGGCAGACAGGACCCCCTGTATGGCCTGGAGGGTAGTGGCATCGCAGGTACTGGCCTGGAGGAGGGAGAAAGGCCCGGTACGATAAACACATACATATATATATACTTTAAAACATGCACGACTGTAATAGAAACAACAAGACAAAAAAAAAAAAGACAAAGAAAAGAATCTGACTTTTCTCTCTAGATGAAAGCAGTGATGAAAGTAAGAGTGACAGTCAATCAAGTGAGGAGAAGAGAGAGGCCAAGGTATGATGCATGCTCACTATTATATAATGTTGCTATATGTATAATGTTATGTATATAATATATATTAATTAATAGAATTAATTAATTATGAGTTCTGCTAACGAGCTTTTGTAAAGCTTATTGTGCTTTGTTTACTTTGCCACACAGGACAGCAAAGATGGAGCGACTGAGGATGAGGAGAAGCAGGCGGAGAATGGAAAGAAGGAAGAGGAAAGAGGAAGAGAACCTGAAGGAGAAAGAGAGGCGGACAAAACAGAGTCTGAAATGGGTACGAAAAGGTTTTTCTGTGAGATATCAAAAACATAAAGTTCTGGTCAAATGTGAACTATATTAAACCTATCCTTCTTTTAGGTGATGGGGAGAAGGAGAAGGATGGTAAAGAGGGAGCAGAGGAGGGACAAAGAGAAGGGGAGAGTGAGGGAGAAAGGAAGGCTAAGGTGGAGCGTGATGTGGGAGAAGGAAACCTGGCAACTGCTGCTGCCTCCGCTCTCGCAGCGGCTGCTGTCAAAGCCAAGGTGAAGTTATTTATATTAAAATCTAAAGGTTCTGTATCTTTAAGTACCTGTTTTTTGTTTTTTTTTTTAATATTTGCTCTAACCCAAGATTCTCTGTCACTTTCTCTACAGCATCTGGCTGCAGTGGAAGAGAGGAAGATCAAATCTCTGGTGGCTCTGTTGGTTGAGACCCAAATGAAGAAGCTTGAGATTAAACTGCGACACTTTGAAGAACTGGAAACCATCATGGACCGAGAGCGGGAGGCTGTGAGTTAGGGATTTGGGGATACATTATATGCAGTGTGGATAGGATGTAGTTTTCCCAAATCACTGGACATGTCTCTGTGTATCTGTTTGTGCAGTTGGAGTATCAGCGGCAGCAGCTGCTGGCTGACCGTCAGTCCTTCCACATGGAGCAGCTGAAATACGCTGAGATGAGAGCTCGCCAGCAGCACTTCCAGCAGATTCAGCACCAGCAGCACAGCCAGGCCGGGGGCCCTCATGCCAACCAGGCAGCCCCAGGCCCACCACCCCAAGGGGTAACTGCAGCAAGTCAGCAAGCTCCCAGTACACCAGCGCCGCAGCCGGCCCCCAGCCCTGCACCACCAGCCTCTTCTGCCCCAGCCTCCGAGTCCCAGCCTGCCCCAGGCGCTCACACCTCACCCCCCTGCCCCCCTGGCCAGCAGGCCCCGGCTGCTCACTCCAGCTCCAGCACTACACCTGTACTCCACGGTGAGTTGAACATTTAACACAAATAGCAGCGTTAATAGTACATAATGATAAGATAAAGATAGAATTTTGCTGTCAATTTCTTTGTTCACAGCTGCACGAAGCATGTCAGAAAAGTTCCAGGCCTGGTGTCACAAAAGATAGATTTCAAACCCAAACTACAAACTACCAGTTTTCCCCTTCAAAGTATTCGCGCTGGAGTGTATGACTGTGATCCCAGCTCTCTGCAGCCATTGAACTTTTTTCCACATGCTTTTATATACATATCCTCTGTTTCGTGTCATCAAGCAATGAGCACAGAGCAAAGAACAAACCTCGAGTTTCTGGTTTGGTGGAGAAAGACTCAGAAGTCAGAACGACTGGGATTGCTGCAGCAAGTGTAAGAAGATGAGATGATGTCATGCTCACATGTTTTGAGTGGTTTGAGGTTTAAAGAGGGATGCAAGGATGTGGAAGATGACCCCAGGAGCAGAAGGCCTTCAACGAGCAGGACTGAGGCCAATGTTGAGCGCATCAGGCAGATGGTGCATGGCAATCGTTGGTTGACTGTTCGACTGATTGCAAATGAGCTGGGCATGAACCGGGGCAACGTCTGGAAGACTATCACTGAAGATTTGGGCATGTAGAAAGTCTGTGCAAAGATGGTGCAAAAACTGCTGAACAATGACAAGAAGTACTGACGCATGCAAGTGTGTCAGGACATCCTCGAGCATTTTAAAACCGAACCAGACTTGCTAGGTAAAGTCATCACCGGTGAAGAGTCATGGATCGTCAAATACGAACCAAAGACCAAACGCCAGAGCCTTCAGTGGAAGAATCCGACGTCACCTAGGTTGAAGAAAGGAAGACAGTCAAAGTCATGTTGATCATTGATATGAGGGGCATTGTCCACTGAGAGTGCTTGCCACAGGGCCAGACAATCAACCAGCACACCAACAAAGAGATCCTGCGGCGTTTGCTTCGTTCAGTGCACGAGAAGAGGTGAGAGTTGTGGCAGGACAAGTGGTGGCTGCTTCACCATGACAACGCACCTGCTCACAATGCCCTGAGCATCCCACAGTTCCTGGCTGAGAAGAACATCGCCGAGCTGGAACAACCTCCCTACTCACCCCACCTGGCTCTGTGGGATTGTTTCCTCTTCCCCAAGCTCAAGGGGGTCATCAAGGGGACCTGTTTTGAAGACGTGGACGACATCAAGATGGCTGTGACTACGGAGCTGCGGAGGATCCTGGAAGAATCCTTGGATGCATGGCACGGTGGCAGAGAGGGCGGGGAAAGTGTGTTAGACTCCAGTGGGATTACTTCGAAGGGGAAAACTTGTAATTTCTGGTTTGGGTTTGAAGTATATCTCTTGTGACACCAGTCCTGGAACCTTTCTGACACACCTTGTATTATGACATTTACTTGTACTTTTATCACTGGCGTAAAAGCTCTTCAGAGAGGTATACTGTAACACAACTCCTGATCTCTGTACACTGGCTTCCCATTAAATTTTTAATTCAGTTCAGAATTTTTATTAGCACTTTAAGAGCCAGCATCGTGAGGCATCTAGGTCTCTGAGGTCTTCTGATCTGGGTTTGTTGGTTGTTCCTCGCTCAAAACTCAAAACCAAATGGGGCTATGCCTGTGACTAGGAAGTAAACGATTTTAATTTTTTCTCCTGTTCTGCCCCTCACAGAGCCCAGTGCCCCTCTCCCTGGGGAAGCGCTCCACCCCTCAGCTCCAGTTCCTCCTCCACAGTGAGAAAAAATAAATTGCCTGAGAATCCGAATGACTCTGACCACTTTGAATCCTGCCTGTATCATCTGAAATGAAGAAGTCATCAACTGAAGGAAGTGAACACATTTTACATTTTCAGATTTTTTTTCCCCCCAACAAGACAATTTGATGTGAGAAAGAAAAAATACCATCTAAATCAGTCCACCTCTGCATTGACTGTATGTTATAAAATGAAGTCCTTTTCAAATTGAATCGACTATGAAGAGAATTCATCCTGTGTGGCTGACTGGACAGCCACATCTCACTTCATAATTTTAAGCTTAACACCAGAGAACTGGTAAACTTAGAAGGTCTTACCAACATGCTGGCACTCAAGGAGAAGAAGAGAAAAGACTCATCTTGTGTTTTCAGTGTTTTGGAAATTGTTGCATTTATTTTCCTGCAACAGTTTGTCACAGTTTGTGAAGTCTCGTGCTTCATAATCTCTCCAGTCCCCCTCTTGTACTCCAGGTACTAAAATATATGTAAGAAAAAAAGCACTTTTAATATGTTTCCCGAGGTCTCATTGAAAAACTTGAAGCATCCATGAAATTGAACTTTAGCACTTATGATATCGTCCTTATGTTGTCTTAAATACTTTTCATACTGAAAGGATTGAAGACATGATTGGGAATCTTAGTTTTTCTCTATTTTTATTTGTGTTACATGGACAAACGGTCACTCTACAGGGTCTGGCCTGAAGGTCACATGTCTAAAACGAATGAAACGTATGTAATGAATGAAAAAGATTCAAGTTGAAGAAGCCAGTTTGAAATTACATGAACTTAGTTTGGATGCAGTTTGGGAAAACGTACTGTAAACTGGATTTTCTGTTACAAACACAAGCTTTTGTTACCCTGTAAGGATAATATGAGAAATATTTGAAAGTACTGACAGCTTGAGGTCCTGAAAAGACCTCCTTTTAAATGTCTTAAAATGTTTGTGTCCCACACTTTTTAGCAGCACTTATTGAAACCCCACGTCAGTGTGGAGCTTCATGTTTTGCAAGTGCGGATGAGCTCAAAGCATCCGAGCTGCAGTTTTGTGAGGAATGTAGTTTTGCTCGAAAGGAATGACTGAAAAGAAAGTCTGGGAATAATAATACTGTACTTCTATCAGTGACCACATATGTGTTTATTCAGAATTTGACTTTGTGTTGATTGCCAAACCAAAATGTTTTTATAGTCATGTTTATCTCACATTTATTCGGTGAGTTTTATTATGGTTGCTTGGGAATTGAAGAGGATTTTTAGCAGCTTGTTTTTGCGCCGGTGCATTTCACGTTACAGATGGAAGAAATGTTAACGCTGTCAAAAAAAACAAGGGAGCACCTTAAACAGCTGACAATGGAGAATTGTGTCCTTAATATCTGCAACAATATCCTCACTTTTTATCCTATCAATTTTTATATTTTTTACTGTCTGTTTTTCCATCCTCTTTCTTTGATATGTCAACATTGTAACTGTATATTATTACCTTTGTAGCCGATATTTACCCTCTCCATCGTTGTGTATGATTCGGACATTTCTTGTGGATCTGTCCGAGACGTGACTGTGAGCATGTGTGTATGTGAACGCATGCCATTAAGATCTGTAAACCATATTACCCTTCAGTTTTCTTTTCAGTGCCATCTGTTGTGTGTGTTCACCAAGTTTGAAGAATTAAAAAAAAAAAAAAAAAAAACTGAAAAAAAAAAAAAAAACATGCTTCATTCTGCACACGACACGTCACGTCGATGTCATGAAATATACTCCAGTCA